TATATATATATATATATATATATATATATATATATATATATATATATATATATATATATATATATATATATATATATATATATATATATATATATATATATATATATATATATATATATAATATTTTTTTGGGGAGAAATCTTACTATTTTGAATTATTTAGCCTAATTAATCTAGTTAAGCCTTTAAAAGTCACTTTAAGCCGAATACTTTTAAAATATCTAGTAAAATATTATTTACTGTCATCATGTCATCAAAATAAACGAGTTATTAGACGTTATTAAAGTTATTAAAACTATTATGTTTAGAAAAGTGTTGAAGAAAATCTCTCCTCAACAGCACTTGGGTCTATGTTTGCTGTCTGAAATTTGCCTACTTTTAGGTTATTTTTCGCTATTGCAGAGGCCCTCAGTTCAGTTAAGAAACTGCTGTTTCATATGTTAATGTCTTCTAGACGTGCTTCACTGAAGTGCTTGTAATGACACACGCTCCAGATTTGAAGTGTTTTTATGTTCATCCTGTTTTTGCATACTATTGTGTTAAAAACTAGATGTGAATGTGTTAGTGCTCATCTCTACCTTTTTCTGTGAATTGATTCTTTGTGTTGCATTTCTCTTAATTTGTTTAGTCTGGTGTGTTCATTAAATGATACTTACTTTTCATATTGTTGTTTACAAATCTATACTGGGTTTACTCCCATCATATCTCCAGAATTATATTTGTAAAAAGCCTGTTCTTAACTATGGCCTTCGCTCACAGGATATTTATTTACTCTCTTGTCCTAAAGTGCGGACTGAGATGGAAAACAAAAAGGCTTTTAAATACGCAGCACCTTCTGCTTGGAATAATCTGCAAACACAGTTGCAGTTCAAAGACTTGATTTCACTGCATGCTTTTAAAAAGACTATAAAAGTTTTAGAAGTTGAAACAGGTTTGTAGATGTTTTGAATAGTTGTCAGTGTGACTCATGTTAACTGTAAATTGTTTTTTGTTTGTTGTCTGTTAGACTCATGTGACTTGTGTGCTGCCTAATCTTGGCCAGGACGCTCTTGTAAAAGAGATTTTTAATCTCAGTGTGTCTTTCCCAAGCGGCAACCTCCCGCTCTCTCTCAGGAAGCCAATACGGAAGTAACTAAAACTGCAATTCATCCAAAATTCCGCTAGTCCTGGCCGCTCCTGGCACCAAAACAGAGCAAATTTCAATTGAGCCCACTGTTAGAATGGCCAACTTTACAGCAGAAAAAAAGGTGTTTACAGCCTGGTACAAAAAAAGATTTTGGTTAATACAGCTAATATTACCCTTCATGACAACTGTGAGGGGGGTGAATTTTTTTATAACTCATCCGTTTCCTTTATATTAAGTTATATTAAGTTTGCATAATTAAGGGAGTGGCCACTTGAGTGACAGCTAGGTCTCGTTGGTCGCCGTTACGTCACCTCAGCTGAATCCGGCAGGTTAGCCACTGAACTCGGCATATTTATCGTATTTCTGTGTTGTTTTATGTGGCTTTACACAGTCAACTGCCTTTTGGACTTGTTTCCTACAATTATTAGATGGCATGGCATGCTGAGTGCACTTAATTGTGCTCACAAACCATTCACATGGCCTCCGTTTCCCATGTGAGTAAAGTTACATACTTATATACCACCTCTATACATGTATTTGTTTTATTTAAGATCATTTATCGTTTATATTTATATTTAGAGCTGTAATGCACTTCTGAATCTGTCAGACTGATTAGCTGTAGGCTCTAGAACAGTCATCTGAAGCGTTGTCATACACTGTTATGCTGGATTTCATCAATAGTCCTGCATTAACTAACACAGACTATATCTGAAGTGTTTGGAAGTAATTCGTGTTTTCCTCCTGTTGAAAAACGTCATAAGAACAATGTTTAGTGGCTCAATGTATTACAGCAGTGATTTTAAAAGTCTAAACACTTTATTGATATAGTATACAACCAAGCACAAGTGGTCAGAATACAAACGAGTCGCAGGTGATAAAGTATTAAGCGTTCTCCCAGAGTAAAGTGTGTCTGAACCAGGTCCAAGCTAAATGCCAGCAGGTGTCTGTAGCTCCGCTCACTCTCCGCCTATTTGCCCTTGTTTGGTATCCCGCCGTGGGTGTGATGACGCGCGAACAAAATGGCGATGGTTGGCCGCGCCTACTTGTGGCTTCTTTTGCGCTCTTTAGAAACCTATGGGTGACGTCACGGATACTACGTCCATATATTTTACAGTCTATGGTTTTCCTGGTAAAATAATGGTTATAATAATAATAATAATACTTTTATTTTGTTTAAAAAAAAATGCAATGCTTTGAAAGTCATACTGTTCTAATAATATTAAGAGATTAAAATGGAGTGTTTCATCTTAAAATTAATCTTCTCCTCTTCTCCAGAATAAGATGTTCATCTACCGGGGTAAGGAGTACGAGCGCTGGGAGGATTTCGAAGCTCGGCTGCTCACTCAGTTCCCCAACGCTGAGAAGATGAAGACCACCACGCCTCCCAGCGAGGACATCCGGAACTCATCTGGACAGTGTATCCTTACAGCATATGTTTGTCACACACACACACACACACACACACGCACGCGCACGCACACACACACACACACACACACACACACACACACACACACACGCACAAAATTTTGTTTTAACACTCTCTGAATGTTTTGGTTGTTGTTTCTTAGTGTGGTTTAAACAGACATTCAGTGTTTCACAGTGAAGCCTTTGCTAGAACTACCACCAAAATTTCAAAACAAACCCGTATCAGAGCAAATCGTCAGGTGAGACTCTGTCTGTCTGTCTGTCTGTCTGTCTGTCTGTCTGTCTGTCTGTCTGTCTGTCTGTCTGTCTGTCTGTCTGTCTGTCTGTCTGTCTGACAGACTGACTGACTGACTGTCTATCTGTGTTTTTGTCTCTGTCTGACTGTCTGTGTTTCTGTCCGTCTGCATCTTTGTCTGTCTGTGTTTGTTTCTGCATCTGTCTGTCTGATTGTCCCTGTCTGTCTGTCATCTGTCTTTCTGTTTGCTATTCAGTTTGTATTTGTATCTCTGTCTGTCATTTTGTCTGTGTGTTTCTGTCTGACTTACTGTCCATCTGTGTTTTTGTCTGTCTGACTGATTGTCTTTGTTTCTGTTTGTCTGCGTCTCTGTCTGTCTGTCTGACTGTTTCTGTCTGTCCTTCGATAGTCGTTCTGTCTGCTATTCAGTCTGCATCTGTATCTCTGTCATTTTGGCGGTGTGTTTTTGTCTGTCAATCGGTCTGTCTCTCTATCTTTCATTTTGTCTGTCTGTTTAACTAACTGACTTAGTGACTGTCTGTCTGTGTTTCTGTCTGTCTGTCTTTTTGTCTGTTATTTCTTATATCTGTCATTCTGTCTATCCATATCCCAGTTTATTATTTTTTCTGTCTGTCTTTCTTTCTATTGTCTGTGTTTCTCTCTGCCTGTCTGTCTGTCTGTCTGTCTGTCTGTCTATCTGATTGACTGTCTGTCTGTCTGTCTATCTGATTGACTGTCTGTCTGTCTGTGTTTCTGTCTGATTGACTATCTGTCTGTCTGTGTTTCTGTCTGTCTTTCTGTCTGTCGGTCTGTCTGTCTGTCTGTCTGTCTGTCTGTCTGTCTGTCTGTCTATCTGATTGACTGTCTGTCTGTCTGATTGACTGTCAGTCTATGTTTCTGTCTGTCTTTCTGTCTGTCTGTCTGTCTGGCTGTCTGTCTGGCTGTCTGTCTGTCTGTCTATCTGGTTGACTGTCTGTCTGACTGATTGACTGGCTGACTGTGTCTCTGTCTATCCATCTAAAGTCTTTGTCTGCTATTCAGTCTGCATCTGTGTCTGTCATTTTGGCTGTGTGTTTCGGTCTGTCTGTCTGTCTGTATCTTTGTCTGTTTCTCCATCCATCTGTCTCACTGTCTGTCTGTATTTCTGTCTGGCTGTCTGTCTGTCTGTCTCTATTTCTTTCTCTGTCTGTCTGTCTGTCTGTCTGTCTGTCTGTCTGTCTGTCTGTCTGTCTGTCTGTCTGTCTGTCTCTTTGTCTGTTATTTTTTATATCTGTCATTCTGTCTCTGTATCTCAGTTTCTCTATTCTGTCTGTCTTTTTTTTTCATTTTACCGTGTATCTGTCTGTCTATTTGTAAATATGTACCTCTATATAATCAGTTTGTAACATTATTTTATTATGTATAATTTTGTAATTAACTTTTTTCTTGCCATAAAACAATGTTTTGTCTGTCTGTCTGTCTGTCTGCTTGCCAGTCAGTCGTTTGATACTTTTTGTTAAGATATTTGTTTGTTCCCTCTGTCTGTCTTTCAGTCTTTGCTTATTTATTCCTTCTTTCCTTCCTTCATTCACTCTCTCTGTTTACCGTTAGTCTTCGTCTGTGTGCATGCTTGTCTGCATGTTTTGAATGCAGTATAATCCCATCTGTCGGTCACATTACTGTACTTTACATTGCCTACCTGACAACAGGCCTACCTGTGAGTGCATTGATGTGTACGTACGTGCCTTCGTGCGTGTGTGTGCTTGTGCAGGTGGGTCAGTAAACCAGCATCCACACCTTTGTGGTTTGTGTTTCACAGCAGCTCACCCAGCTGATTAAAATGGAAATGTGCAGTGAGCAAACAGTGTTTGACCTTACTACACTCCTCTGTGCTTTAATAAATCACACACACACACACACACACACACACACACACACACACACACACACACACACACCTGCAGCGGAAGCATTATTCTGTTTCAGGCTAAATTCACTGCTGTGAGGTAAACAGTGGCGTTATCACTGATCTTAATAAAGCGTCGCAGGCAGCTTACCACAGCCAATCAGAGCCGCCACTGAGCATAAAAAGTAATTAAAACTCACTATTTACCCACAATTCTGAGTAAATAAGCATCAGAGCCAAAGGTTGCATGATGGGATGGGATTTCTGCGAGCTTACAGAAGCATGAAAGTGTAGAGGAGCTTAAAGCCAGGATGGTTTTAATAGTTTAACACTGACCTGCTCTGCTGTGCCGCATCTGACTTTTATTTTTGGGTTTCTCCTCTTTTAGCTGGGTCTCTCCTCTTGTGCCGCAGGCTGGATCTCTTTTCCCTACAGCTAGTACATTTGTAAATATTGTAATTGGTTATCTCTGTCACTTTGAGTTTAGTTTTAAACCATTCATATTGTGAAATAAGAAGGTCAATTTGGCAACTTGGTGGTTTTTATTTGTGAGTTTAAATACAGAAGATTGGCCGAAAATCAGTCAGCTAAGTCATACCACAGTCATACTAAAGGCTGATTTATACTTCTGCGTCAAACGCCGGCGTATGCTACGGCGCTGATGCATAGCCCTTCGCCGTGGCCGTCGGCGTCGCTGATGTGCACCTCTCAAAAAATGTAACTACACGTCACAACGACGTGTAACATAAGCTCTGTGATTGGTCGGCTTGGTAGCGCTGATGAGTCTGGGCGGGACCGAGAGCCGCGCGAATGGCGCGAGCCCAATGGAGTGATTGTTTACAAGTGTGGAGTCCCGTGAAGGAGCTCCGGATGGAAAGTTTTGTTTTGTGTTTACCTTATAGTTAAAGTTGCTGCACGTCCGCCGGTTCCTGTCTCAAAATAAGTGAGTTTGAGTCACTTGTACATTCCGGAAGTGTTCAGGAAAAGCAAACCAACAGCGAAGAAACTCGACACAGAGGAACATTTACACCTCACTGCCAACGTAACTAGCGTGGGTTACGCCAGTCACCTGACGCAGAAGTATAAATCAGGCTTAAGCTTCTGCGTCAAGTGACCGGCGTAACCCACGGCGCATGCAACGCGCGTGGCTGTGCATTTATACTTCTGCACGCTGTCTCTGTTGGTCTGCATTAACACTTCAGAAACGCTAGTTGGCAGTGAGGTGTAAATGTTCCTCTGTGTCGAGTTTCTTCGCTGCTTTTTTGCTTTTCCTGAACACTTCCGGAATGTACAAGTGACTCAAACTCACTTATTTTGAGACAGGAACCGGCGGATGTGCAACAACTTCAACTATGAGGTAAACACAAAACAAAACTTTCCATCCGGAGCTCCTTCACGGGACTCCACACTTGTAAACAATCGCTCCATTGGGCTCGCGCCATTCGCGCAGCTCTCGGTCCTGCCCAGACTCGTCAGCGCTACCAAACCGACCAATCACAGAGCTTGCGCTACGCTTCGTTGCGACGTGTAGTTACATTTTTTGAGAGGTGCACGTCAGTGACGCCGATGACCACGGCGAAGGGCTACACGTCAGCGCCGTAGCATACGCCGGTGTTTGATGCAGAAGTATAAATCAGCCTTTAGGGAGAACAGCTAGATAGCCTTTGAGATTATCCAGGCCCACACTCAAAACCAAGGGGTATGAAAATTTCCCAGAATACACCAGCTACACCAAGATTGTCGTTAATACAAGTTTGTAGTTTACTGTTATGCTTAAAAAAAATAAACATTTAATGGATTAAACATCTTTAATCCACAATTACAACACCTGTATAGCAGTATAAAGTTAATGTGGTTTTCTTGTGTTTACATAGATTATTATGGCCACTGTGTAAATGCACATTACAATTACAATCAAAATTAATAGCACATTTCTTAAAATATCTACTTTTTTGTTCCATTTTAATTTTTTTTTTTTCATCCATCGACCCATTCATTGATTCTTTGTGTAGGTGCTGAAGAGTAAGTGACTGAGTATTGTTGTTATGTAACTGCGCTTTCAGAAATCTCCTCATAAATAGTGTGTAGGCAGCTCCATTGAATCACTTTCTCAGCAGATGCACCACTGAAATTAGCCTTATTATCCTTTGTTAGAGTCCCAGTGTCGGCTGAGAAACTCAATAAAAGTGTTTTTAAGTATTTATTTCCTCCACAAAAAATGACTGTTTTCCTTTCTTCATTCCGTCAGCCGCTGAGCGTCCTATTTTCTAGATGACAGTAATATGCAAAATAAATTAATTATGAGTTTCAGTTCCACCGCTGAGAAGTCTATTTATCTGCTCTTGTTCGATGTGCACAAAAGCACTGCGCTTCCAACAGGACGGTCTAGACTGCTGTCATGTCCGTTGTGTAAAGTCATCAGTCATTTAGTCTCGTTCATTTCTCACTCGGTGTCTTCGTCAGACTGGAAACGTTATTATAGTCAGTGACAGGCAGATGTATTCAGCAAGTTTGTCCGATCAGTGATATGCTCTTTGACGGGCAGCACTATAATGCTGTTTATTCATGCCACACTTTTTGAATGCATAAAATTGCCAGCAAAGCTGTGGTATGCTTTATAGTGGATGGACTTTCAAGCTTTGACAAAGTCTTGAGCAGAGGTGGGTAGAGTATCCAAAAGTATTTGCGGAAATTTTTACTCAAGTAAAAGTAACAAACGTAAAAGTTACTCAATAAAAAATGTGAAAATGTATCTGATGAAAAAATTACTCAAGTAAATAATTATTAGTTACTTTTATATATATATATA